AACCTATATAAAATTTTTCATCATTTATCCCAGCTTTGGACAAGTTTGATTTCTAGGCAGATACACACTTGGAAACAGCGTCTCCTCTCAGTGACTTAAACTCCCTCAGCTACACTATCTGTTGTTCACAACTTCTTCACACTGCACAGGAGACTTAGAAGAATTATCAAATGATAAGCGTGAGTGACACAGCATGCAGAATGACATTAAAACCTGCTAACAACGACTTCTGATCTATTCTTGGAAGGATATATATATATACATATAAATCTCAACAACTGATAGTTTGACTAATTCTGATTACAAGTTTCAGTCCCACCTTTGCTCCGACTGTCTTCTTTTAATATTTTTATCACTGTATGTGCCCATTTTGCTATTCTTTTTTTGCATCCTCGTTTTGAAATCTGGTTTTGGTAGTTTTAAGTTTATCTTATTTATCTCTGATTTATGTGATTCAGTTCCAGCTAATATCAGCATATCATTTTATTGGGAGTAGTTTCCATTTAATCTGGAGCCTGAGAATGAGTCGGAGCTTTTCTCGTAATTTAAAATAAGTAATCTTTTAATAATTAAATTCTCAGAGCAAAACTCTGTTCATACTACTGGTTGCCTACAGGAGCCATCACTTCAAGTTGGCGTTTAAAGGCAGAATAATTGAGTCTAAGTCGGTCAAACATTACCAGAAGAGTCATAGTCATCAAGAAGTTAAAAATTTACACAATCATTAGTTGGTACTGTCTAATTGATTACCTACGGTAGAGAAAGTAGTAAGTAATCCACAGAGATCCCAGAAAAAAAGCTGCAGTACACATTTTGTTGATTTACAATTGTGCCAGTTAGCCACGACAGTAAGAAACAATAAGTAGTTCTTCTGGACTTCTCAACACTCTTGACAGCTTAACTGATAGAAGTAAGAAGCAGACAGTAAAAAATTTGAACAGATAGATTGACCACCTCAGGCTTCCATAACGGTAAGCCAGGAAAAAGTTGTCACCATAATAAAATGTTAGTCAAACGGAATCCTCATCTAAGTGCCTTCAATGATCGCCATCATTTACAGCAAGCTACCACCGCAGCTTTCGCTAGCCATCGAACAGGCCACTTTTTCTACAACATTATTATCCTATAAAACCAACACTCAAGGTGATCATATCAAAAATGTATCTACCATCTAGCTTAAAGAAATCTAGGAGTAAATTGGTAAGTAAGGATTAATTTCCACAACTCGACTTGATAATTTTGTTTGAAAGAAAAGTATACGCATCTCTCAGCAACATCGCAGTTGCCAGTTTCTACGCATATATATTCATGTATATATGACATATACTATATAACTGGTGAAACCAAAGTTGTAGTCGTGTAAAGTTGTATTGGCTACTTTCCAGTGTAGACAGGCTTTTCAGAGCAAAACGTGAATCTGTTTAAATTTTCAAATCTTGAAATTGTTCAGCCTTTCTGGCAAATCTGGTATGTTAGTGAATTTTAAACTTTCTATGTGGGTCGACTGCTAAGTGGACAAATGGTTT